TATATATATATGCGAAAAGTGTTCTGATAATGCCCTTGTTTTATTGTACGGACCTGCTCGTTGACGTTTCGAATGCACAAGGATTTTTGGGTGTCTGCTTTCGGCTCTCACACTTCGGACAATTCTTCTCGGACGCTTCGCCTCGGGTCTTTCTTCGTAGTACCGCTTCTAAACGGCTTAAGCAACTGACTAACTAACTAGCCAACTAGTTAACTGACTAACTAACTAGCTAGCTAGCTGACTGACTAACTAACTAGCTGCCTAAGCTAAGCTGACTGACTCACTGACTCAATGATTGACTGCTGTTCCAAAACGGCCAGGCGTAGCTCCAAAGTGGCCTGGCATTTCAGCATGCCGCCCGCAGAAGAAGGCGACTGTGCCTTTGCCCGAGGCACTGGGTGTTCCATAAAGCCTTCGGGAGTTTGACTGTATATTGATAAAGTCTGCCTGCATATTGATAAAGCCTACGGTCCGGAGCTCTAATTCAGCCCGACTTCAGATCACGATTCGAAGGTTTTGTGCATCTATGTTGAAGATGTCCAGTCAGTCTGTACGGTGGGGTAGCAGCATGCTCAGGATGTCTTACCTGTTACAAGTTTCATTTGCAATCTGAAGACTTTTGAGCGAGATCTGGAGAGCTATGGCACGACAACTGCAGGAGTCAAGACCTTGGATCGCCCGTGGGTCGGTAGGACGGAGACATTCACAGCCTACTGGGTCTCCAACTGGTACAGCAACCCTCCGCAGCCTCCCCTCATCCTAACCCTAGTAGCAACGGCACCTTCCACTGTGGCCAATCCAGAAATCGCGGCAGCACCTGCACTGTCAATCCGAAAAGAGGTTGGGGCCCTATCGAATCAGAGGAATAGGGTACAAACACTCTTACGAGGACTCCTGGAGAGCCATTCTACTTCCGCAGGCTCTAGACTTTTTTTTCCAATTCACAAGGGACTCGACGGCTAGACTTACCACGTGAGATCTCTTCGGGAAACGACGGCTAGACTCGACTTACCACGTGAGATCTCTTCGGGAAAGATCGCGAGAGACGAGAGAGAGAGAGAGAGGGGAGAGAGGCAGAGCGGGAGAGCCACCAGTGTCTAGGAAATGTCCACCGCGACCTCATTTGCGCATAGTCCGCAAGCTATGGCTGACGGAGAATTCTGTTTCGAAGCTACAGAATCTATAGGATCTTCCCTGCAGCAAGGAAACCTCAAGACATCTCAACTGGCAGACCGCTCAGTTTAAACGGATGATAGGACAGGTATGATCAGCAATGGCCACTGCAAGCAACCATCTCTCTGAAACACTGCCAGTACAGATCCACCCAACCCGGAAAAACTTGAAGACTTCCCAGTCTCGGACCGGATGTGCACGGAGCTTGTCGTAGTCCACATGGCCCCGAGAGAAGTACCTATGGCAGAACGGTGGGAATGTGCAGCTTGTCATGATTAGACTAGTCAGTCATATCGGGGATGTCCAACAAACGGCAGAATCATACACCCTCTCAGTGCTTGTTGCAACATCTCAAAGGGCAGTCGGACACCACACGTGATTGGTCATCAGGCAGGTCATGTCACGGGACATACCCGAACCAGATTCGAAGTCGAAGGATGCTGGCATACAAACATACCTAATCAGGCCGGTCACTTCTATTCAAGGGCTGCAGGTAGGACCTCTGTATAGCCCTGTGCTTGTTCTCTCGGTTACCAGCCTATGACCCGGCAATACAGCACCAATATGATGAGCACGCCAAGTGCGGTCCAATTCTGTAAACTGCCAATATTGTCCTTTGCTCGTAATGCCAGCCTTCTCATGCTATAGACCGAAAGCGAGGCCAGAAATTGAAAGGCTACGGACCGTCCCTGCGCACGGGAACGTCTCGTCGGATGCCCTGACAAAACAAAGCTGCACAGCTGCGTCTTTCTCGGAGACCATGAGAATCTGCACGTCGTCTAGGATACCTACATGAACCTACAAAGGAAGTCATCCATGCAAACTACTAGCCTGCAATGGACCACACCAGCCAAAACAGCAAGAAAAGATTGGAACACTAACACCTGAACCCGATGTATCTTTTGTCAAAGCCTTCTGGGACAAATTCGGAAATACTTGACCTACAGAAGGTGGCTACCTTGCGTTTTGTCATTGTCCTGCAATGACACCAAGGCCCCTTTGCAAAGCTGCTAATGTCTTTTTGTGATCGAGGTTCGGTGGCTACCTACTTGTCTTCTTGTGACTCCGATCGGTGCGGCAACTTCAGGCAAATACGCATGGGATCAGACACCGCAGCTCTCTCACCGTGCTCACCTGCACGAGATTTCAGATGTGGGTTTTCCTTATCGCTTTAATCGGCAACCCTGAGCTCAAGACCGGAGGGGCCTCGACACCGAAATAAAGACACCCTGATCCATTCAGGCAGACGATGCCTATCCAACATCTTCCCGGCATGGCAAGCGTCGACAATGATTGTCACCTGAAGGGCTGGATGCAGTGATTAGGTATTGCCGGCAGCAGTAGTGCAGCTCGCCTGTGACTGTGAGGCCTTCGACTCATCAGCACATCAATTGAACACATCTCTGCAAAGCACGCTGGTCCCCACATGTGCGTGCATGGCAGACATGTCGCGATTGGCAAAACGCTCCTTGAAGAAGATGCGCAGAGCATGTCAATGACGAGTAATATGCCATTGTGCAGAAGCCCGCGACGACAATCTGCTGCGAAGCTGGCCTGCACGCCAGAAGGCACCGTCATCAACGCCTCCCGTGGCAAGTTTCTCTACGACTCTACGACCCTGCTGCACATGGATCACAAATATGTTGCTTACCTAACGGGCGGCTCCAGGAACATATCGTTAAACACGTGCAACTAGGGACAGATTGCCTGCATAACTTCTGAGCCTGCCATCCAGCACACACTTCGACCCGAGGCCGTACCCGAAAGGCTTTCCATCCAGCATGGCCGGCTGAATCCATGAATCCAGATTGCTCTAGGTGTATACATCCTCAAGCGTCTTCATCTCCGACAACACGTCGTCAACCACGGTGTACCCACAACCCACGACGACATAAACCTTTTGCAACGCTCGAAATCCAGGGAGTGCTAAACCCAACCCCAAACCCGAAACCCGTCAACAGGCCGCTGATCGGTACAAAGAGCTTGCTGGACCTAAGTTCCACAATCTCGAGAGAAGGTTGCAACATCCTAAAGCCAGAGCATCTCAAGTCCTAAATGCCCTAAAACCCCCAGAACAAACCAAAGCATACAGCACCTGGTGAACTTCCACATCGCGCAGGACCAACGGATTTTCACCACCCTCGAAGACCTCGGGTTGCCGAACATCCCCACTACGGTTTAAGGATTTTTGATACGGTTTAGGCTTAGGGTTTTGGGCTTCGGGCTTCTTTTTTTGTAGCGTTTACAGTAGGGTTCTCGGCGAATACAGAGGTCGGCCAAAAGGTTTCCATGAGCCATGAAAGTCACAAGTCCAAATGGTTTGACATCATAATGTACTTTCCTTCATAAAGCGGTAGTTTGCGCAGGTTGGAGGCTATCTCGGGCTCTGACGAATGCCGATTGTTGAAGATGGTCTGTGCTGGCTAAACGAACACGAACCTGCGTGTGAAAAGTTATACCTTGCCCAGTTCTGGTGTCTGTCGGGACGCGGGTAAAGCAACCTTGCAACTCTGATCTGCAGAATAGCCTATAGTCCTGCAAGGGGTTTACTATAGTCTAGAGGTGCGCAAGTCTTGGCATGTTGGACCATTTTGCTCCTGGCTGTCGCGGTCAGGCATGTCTGCCCGCATTGCCCGCAGTAAGGCACCCGGTGTAGATTGGACACCGTGCCGGGTTGGGACGATTTGGGCTCCTGAGACTTGTTTCGGAAACACGACGCGGTACTTGGAAATCCGGCTGATTTGCACACACACACACACACCTACACACCTGTGTCAGGAGGGGTGGCTTGAGAAACAACAATCCTTGACAGATATGAACTCTTGCTCGTTGCGCAGGGTATACAGGCAAAACGAAGGCTGCCTGCAATGCTCAGTGGACCAAGAGAGTGGGACTGGCGCGTGGGAGAACGTCCCAACTGTGGGTGAGGCCCATCCGTTTCGAGGCTGTGCCGGTATACCTATGTTATACGCATGCAAGCACCAAGGCCCTAAAACCATCCTACCTCGTCCTAGCCTAAACTGAGCAGTGACGCCGCATTAGCCTGAAAGCTTCTGCTATCACATTGCGAACACCAATAAACTCAAAGCTTTACACACCTGGGAGAAAGGGAACAAAAAGGTGTTACCCGAACCCACCGTGCTAGACGGGCCTGCAATGACTTGGCTTTGCTAGGCTAGGTTGTATCCTCTCAGCCTATACGAGCCGTCGTGCTCCAGAACGGGACCTCTTGCAAGAGGCCCGGAGTTGAGCCTGACTTCGGGCCTCACCCCCCTTCAAGCATGGATGCTCTGCTAAACTTCTGCCGCCGATGAAACATGCAACTTCTATCTAAGCAAGACTTGAGAATCTGCCCCAAGGGTCTGGGCTTCTGCCCGTGTATTCTTTACAGTAGTCGGTAACAATCGCTTCAAGCCTCCCATAGTACTTCTTGAAGTCCAAATGAAGAAAAGCAAGCATGTCTTGAACATCTGAAAAACCAGGAGCTCCCACCCCTGTGCTCCGTGTGCAGTGTAGACTTCTGCCCACCCCCCCCCCAAGAAGCCCGCACCCTCAACCCTTAAACTCTCTTCTTCAACAACCAGGCCCAAAAAAAGTTCAAACTTTTTAGGATAGATCTAATAGATAAAGCCAAAAAGTTTAAAGTTCTCCTATTAGTAAACCCCCAAACCCCCCGCAGTTTCATCGGCTCTTGCTGCTGTGCATGTCGCAAGGGCACGAGCAAGGACTGGAAAGGAGCGGTTGAAGCAAAGTCCCAAAGCCTAGGTTCCCCAGTAGCCCCTGAATAATAAGGGTACCCTTTTTCCTACTACTTGGCTTAAATAAGGGAACCCGAAAAGAAAAAGGGCAAAAGGGTACTACTGGGGAACCTAGAAGCTGCTGTTTAGAGATTAGAGAAACGGTTATCATGGTGGCAGTCTGCGGGTGTATCCATCATGAAAGTTGCAATGCTTACTATTCTCGTCGTTGTCTTAGTGGTAGTAGAAATATTACTGGCAGCCATAGTAAGCAAAACATCAAAGCGCTTGGAATCATAACTATCCCAGAGATAAGCAGCTGTAAGCTCACAGCTACCGCAGTGATCTGCACCTGTACTGAGTAGTCATAACTGCAAACCTGTTGATGATTGGTAGTCTGACCAGCTGCCACAGGACTTGGGATCTACAGTCTCGGGCCTGGCAAAGAAAGCTGCATTCTGGTTTGGCTGAGATATGTCTCTCCTTTCCTCAAACCCTGCCAGTTCTCATCAGATAGTCAATGCCGGTGAAGAAGACGCCTGGGTGAGAATGTGCTCGACATGTCAAACAGACATGGTTCGAAGAAACGTGACGAAACAAGCCAGCCTGTTCCGCAGGACATACGGGTGTACACGCAGGCATGAGTCTCTGTGTGCATACCGCAAGGGTGCCTACAAAAGTTGCACTCCTAGACAGCTACCTGCTCCGCAAGAAGAGCTGGCTCACTAGCTTAGCAAATAGGACCTACCTACCCTATGAACCTCCTGGCTCGTGACACTGACCATGAGCATGACCGGTAAGAAGCCATCGAAGCAGACGTTCAAGCTGTTGCATGACAAAGGGCAACTGGCACCACCGTACTTGGCGGCTGCCTGCCAGGACCTCAGTGAAGAGACCCCCGAAGCAGTGTGGTCTCGACCTAAATAACCCTGCACCTTCCTACGATTTCTGGCGTCATGTTTCCTGTGCTGAGCCTCACACCGGCCGGCGACTTTGTACAATGCACCTGTTCATAGCAAGATGCCCCACGGCTCCAGCATCAGAACTGTGAAAAAAGCCCTGCTGACTTCCACAACTCGGACTATCTGATCTCTCGAACGCAGTGACTTGGATTGCATTCACCGGTTAAAACCGGAAGCAGTGCAGAGTCAAGTTCACGGTCCAAGGGGTCGATGGGAGGCTTTAGAGGCGCCCGGGACCGGGTTCGAATTGTGCGCTCTCATATAATGTAGGGGCCTTAATAATTGGAATAGGGTTTGGGGGGGTATATTGTACTATAATCATGATAACGCACCTCCAAAATAGTATAGGTAATTATTTAGGCCCCTAGGTTACCCGGACTTCTGGAGGTGAGTTTTTTGGTGTCACAGTTTGGATGAAACTTTCATGCACTCACTCGCGGACAAACAGGACGAGGTTCGGGCAGCAAGTTGGGAAGCGACACTCAAAACCAAACCACGTCCGGGGCTTAGGAAACACGAAGCTCAACATTTGGGAACGACAGGTCCATGACCTTGAGGGTGCAGGATCTTCTTTGGGCACCTGGAGATGTTGTAAATTGCTCGTTGAGCTGTCAAGCATGAAACAGGGCATTCCTGCTCCAAAATCTGCTACAGCGCTTGAGATTGGGGATCCGTTGTTTCATCACCAGAGCAAAAGCCGACTAATACAAGAACTCATCCAACAAGCACTTCCCAGGAAGGCGGGCGCAGCAGGAAGTTGCAGAGCAAACAGCTCCTGCCTGCTCGAATGCAGACCTCTGAAAACCCAGATATCCTCACTCCCTACCAACCTGCTTTATTCAACGGGCTTCTTCCGTCAAGGTGCGACCGCCACCAGTACCAACTTCGCAGTGCATGTCATATGCCCGATGTCTCACATAGAGCCCATGCTATTTCCGAACATATCTATCACGACCTTGTCGCTATTGCTGCTTCCGGCGCCTGCTGCACCCCCTGCTCCGACTGCATTCAAGCCGTCGTCGTTGCTTCGGAATTGCCCAACGAGTCCGTGGAGGCAAACCTGAACTGTGGTTTCGGGGACTTCGGTACAGGAACAGCATCAACAACAACCGAACTAACAGTGATATTCAAGTTATATTCGTAGCCAGACTGCTCAGGTTTTGCTTGAAGTGTGAAGCTCGGCTCCAATTCTGGCGTCTCTGTTGGAGTCACCAATACCTCTTTGACTACAAGCCTGCTTATCCCGGCTACCTGACACCCTGTCGCCGGGCATAGCGTCTTGTAGGGTCTCGACAATTGAACCAGGATGTCGAATCTGGGGGCCCTATGTGGGTAGTTGTCTAAATTAGGGTCCCTTTTTAGGTCCCCAGGATAGTACGGCACCCTTATAAAATGAACAGTAAAAGGGACCCTAATTTAATTTAGAGAGCTAATCATATCCTAAAAGCCGAAAAGTTTATAGGATCTCGACTGAAAGGGTTTAGAGTTTTTTTTTCCCGCTCGCATGGCTGAGATCGATGCTCACAAGCGAGGCTTCTTTGGCGTACCAGAACTATGCAACAACTCAAAAATCAAAATCCTGCTTCGACCGCAAACCCACTACATAAGGAAACCGGAAGAAACCTAGAGTAGTCGAATACAGGGATTCCCACAGAGCGAGCTCATTAGGGTGCCAAGCAAATTCATCCCGCACTCTAGCCCTAGAGGGGTTCAGCGTTCGGGGTTTAGGGTCGAGGTGTAGGTGTAGAGTGTCTAGGGTGTCAATGTATTTCACTTGAAAGCCGGTGTCATGTGCAGCTTTCGGGAGCCTCCGTGCCAGGAGTGGCTGCTCTGGAAGGCTCTCTCGGCAGATTCGTACAGAGTTGCGTGCGCACTGTCGGTTCAGAGATTGAGAACCTATAGTTTCTGTCTCCATGCACGGCCCCGTGCAAACTAGATATTATTTCCATGTTTACCTGTCCGGCATACTAGCTGAGAGGTCTTACAAGCAAGGCTAATACAGTTCATGTTGATGTATTGTCGGAGTCTGGGCAATCGTCCATATTCCCAACTTCGTCGGGGTCATTTCTTCCTGGAGTGCACCCAGGTAGCGTAGTACATGGTGATGATTGCCTCGGCTCAGCCATTCCACTTGACAACTCGTCGGCTAAGACGTTTTCTGCAAAGGACCCACGATTCGCAACAAGCACAATTGCCTTGATCGTCCCCCTGGATTGTATTTCAGCAATATGCAATCTCCCGCGACGCAGGTATGCAGCTCTGGTAATTTGCGAGCGCAGGTGCTGATTGATTTGCCAGCGCAGGGCCATATCGACCTCAAGCCCAACATCACTTGAAACGGCCCATCGGTGCTGATACATCCGTTGCATTCTACTACTGCGTCAGTCTTGGGGTCAGGGTAGCCAGTACACACACAGGGGTGCATGTGCACAGGACATAGAGGACATGTCGAGAATCAAGCCGGATGTAAACCGAAGGATGAGACGAACAGTGTGGCAAAAAGAGAAGACCCACCCTAAACCCTAAACCCCTCCAGATCGGCTGTTACCGGTGAGAAACGCAGTAAAGTAGTGAGATAATACGGTAGACGACAAATGAGAAATTTGATGACGTAAACAAACAAGCAAGTACATGAGAATTGCAGGAAAACTCAGAACCGATGACCTTAGCCGGCAGTGGCCGGGGCCATAGAAGTGCACCCGGATCGGAACGGAAACCTGTTGACACAAAACCTTTCAATTTACTCGAAGCTCGTGCTGGTCTGGTAGGCCGAAATCCCAGAGACGAACAAAACAATCCTCAAAACTCGGGCAAGTTGCACCCGGCGACACGCTGAGCTCCAAACTGAGAGCTCTGTCATGTTAGCAAATGTCTGACATCGAGTACCGTAATTTACTCCCTGAATTCCCGAGTCTAACACCAGCTTCAAGCTTCCTAAACCCTATATCTGAAAGCTGCGCGCCAGGTAGCTGCAAGAGTTCAGCACTGCGTTCAGGAAGAGCTTGGGTGTTGCCCCGCCTGCGAGAATTTATCCGAGAAGCGAAGCTTCTTCGGTCCAGAGTTTCACTATTTGAGAACCACACTTCTCGGCTTGCGCACGAAACTACCGCGCAGGGCGTGTGTGGGTTTGACAATCCGGAAAGCCTCTGAACACGAGAGAGGCCAGAACAATGCTGAGCATAGCAACAACATACACTGGACTGATACAGTAGACCAGAAAATCCAGAAGAGACAACTAAGACTAGACCGCGAAGCAGATGACAAATCGTTCTTGAATGTTGTGCGACCGGCTAGAACCACGCAGAGTGGGTCGCCAATAGATCCCTTAGGAGGCGATTTCGAACAAGAACCCAAGATGCCAGCTTCCCGGAAAGACACGGTCCATGTCGTGCAACTGTGGAGGTATGCATGCACTCAGAGTAGAGGCTTTTGTCGCCGCACTGAGGGCGCACTGCTACCGATGTGGCTGCAGCCTGCAGGGATTCCTGCTAAAGCCGAACCTTGCAAAGATGATGACTTCTCAGGTTTAGTGGCCAGAGTGGGTGCCTTGTGTTATGATGGGCGACTCAACAATAACACCCTAAACCTGCCCACACACCTTAATCGCTGTTGCTGTAAGTTGTTTTCTTTGCGGAAACCCCCCTCAGGCATGACTCGAGGCTGCACCTGAGGTGCCCGGAGAGGTTCAGGTTGTGAGACCTTGCCTGTGCCGTCGAACACCAGTCTCTGGCCATTCATACCCGTTCCTCTGGTGCCGAAATCAAAGCCCTTCGGACCAGGTTCGGTGAGCTGAGCTTCCAGGCTTCTAGGGCCTCTTAGCTGTTAGAGAGGCGCATGCCAGACGCTGTTCAAGGAAAGCTGCAGCTGCGATCCTCTAATTGCCCGACTGGTGGTCGAACTCTTGCCTGAGGTGGCTAAATATCTGCATTTTGAAAGACAGCCCGCTGCGCAAGCCGCATCGGGCTGGATGCAAAAGGGCCGCAGCCCTCCCCCTCTGGAGCAGTCATGTATGAGAATTATATAACGTCTGAGACCTAATGGCAACAGCGTTCCTCGCGCTCCACGCACCGACAAGACTGACAGATCTCATGCGGGTTCCTCCACATCAGCGTATTCTTTTCAACTTCAAACAAAAAACGCTTCACCAGGCGACTGCGTCTTACAGATGGCATCCAAAGCTGAAGTGACCGGGTTGAGTTGAAGTTGTAGAGCCCTACCGCAAGAAACTCGACAGCCATTGTCAAAGAAGCCGCGAGAGGGCGTAGGAATTAGAGATCTCATGACTGAAGAACGGCGAGAACAGAACCAGCACGAACCAGCAACATAAGTGCTAAGGGCCCAGGTCTTCAAGCGCAGATTTTGTTGAGAGTTCATTCTCCTGGATATGGAGACACCCCCTAAACCCTAAACCCTAAACCCTGAGCTCTGCTGCAGGAGGGGGAGGGGGATTGCGAACCGCTCGTCGCAAGACCAGGAAACTCAAGCAGCCAGGGCAGGGCTTTTAACGGGCTCTCATGGGCTCTCGTTAGCCCTGACCGGCTTAACGCGAGGCTCCCAGACCGCCTTCAAAACAGGCCTTTTCCCCAGCCCCACTGTAGAATGCCTCCAGGAGCACTTTGTGCTGTCGGAGCCAACTATTCGGCCCCCAGTCTTCCCTGTAGGAAAATGAAACGAAACTTGGATGTCAGATAGGGGCCTTAATAAATTAGGATATGGTTTTGGGGTATATTATACTATAACTATATATAGGAAGTTGACTGCCCAGTTGCTGATGTCTTCTATTGCTGCTTACACTGCTATTGGTGCTGTCATGTTTCGGCCACTGCTGTTACATGGACTGCTTTTGCTGGTGGCATAGACTAAGCAGTCGACCTTGCTTCGGCTTCAGACATACACTCTTGCTGAAGCGTGGCTACCAGCTACTTCGTCAGATTGCTGAGGAGAGTCTGGCCCAGCAGCTTCGGAGTGAGCCCTGCAGCTATGATGCCCAATGAATGCTTGCCAGGACCTTCCCTGTCCTATATGGATGGAGCTTTCAAGTTACCTACGCTACCTACAAGGGTGACAGGCACGGGGTGTCAGAGACTTGCGCAGGAGCTTCTTGCTCCTCAAGCCGCCGAAGGCGATATCAGCCTCAGTTCAAGATATGGGTACTCGCTTGCACGCTGGACGGGTCCGACACCGCAGGGTCATACAGGAGAAGATGTATTTTTTGCTACGATCGAGATGTGAAGTTTCCAAGCTTGCGATGAGAACAACAAATTTGCTGTAATCGTTTTCGGGAAGGCTTGCAGAGTTTGTTAACACTTCCAAAGGTTCGATTGAGTTGTCTTTCGGTGCACGCCAGCCGCAGCCGCTGGGCAAGTCTCCTTTAGGAACTTCACTCACGTACTGTCGATATATCTGGTCTGCGTTCATTCTTGAGAAGGCGCGCCTGGCCAAACTCTCTGCTTTCTATCCATGCTAAGTGGGGCATATCGTAAAGAGAGACTGCGAAATAAATGGGGCTTCACGACATGGATTTGGTGTACAGCAGTTTGCAGTAAGTTGCTGTAGCTTACGAGCACACGGTGCCATGTACGAGCCATGCAGATTGCAGACTGCAGTGCCCTAACCACAATCCTAGCTTGGTTACGCAACCTTCTCACCATCATCATGCTTCGTGTTTTTCAATGGTAAAGCCTTGATTCAGGACACAGCCAAATCGGACAAGCTCGACGGTACGAAATGCACTGCTGTGAGGGTTCATCTCCCTGCATGTGTCACTACATGTTCGAGCGGGTGTGCCTGCAGGCTTTTCATGCTTGCAAATGTGTGTGTGTGTATATATATATATATATACATTGCTATTCCGATGAGAGTAGCAATATCGAAATCCGAAACACTGCATTGTCACCAAGTGGAGGGCCCTTACGGCTCTGTCGGGTCACAGCTTGTTGCGTGGTGCATACTTTGCCGCTAGCCATCAGTAGCTGGTAGGCCTCTGTCCTTGCCTGGTGCCTAATCTGATTATGCAGTATGCTGTCCTGGTCTAGCGCGCAATGTGGTTTATGCAGCCAGGCGGGGACGACGTGCATACGTACAAATAAAGAGATGCCGAAGGTGTAGAAGCAATGCTCGTAAGCCGTTGGGTATGCAGAAGTGTAACAGATAAATACTGTTAAAAGCCATGCCCACAGTCAACCTTACCCTCACCAGCACTGCCGACATCACCACCCACAACATCCGAAGTCCTACCATCTCCGTTCTTGCTGTCTACATCTTGCATTTGTCCACCATCTTCATTCCCATTTTATCTTCGCACTAGCAACAACACCCGAAAAAAAACACAAGACAGATAAGGTTGAGAGCGACAGCAGGCAATATCACACTAAAGCAAAGTTCGTATATTCGCCCCTACGAGTTCTAGAAAGTTAATCAGAGGAATAGCTGTGGGAACTCAAGATCCCTTGAGCGCGCCTAAACCCTGGAGCCGATCCAGCATGCAAAAGCCAGGTGCCCTAAACCGACCCACGGCCCGTCTGAAACTTACAAGCTACCACCAGCTGCTACTAAGAGGCGGCACGTCTCGGCCACGTCCTTTCTTGAGGATGGCCTGACTGCAGACGGATTGCAAGGGTTTGCGGCATTCGGCCCCTAAACAACGCAGCTGCCACCGGCTACCGTTAGAAAATGCACGCATCACACACAAGCAACGCCAGACCTCGATCTCTGCGAAAGATCGTCCCTGCAGGCATGGCCCAGTTTCGCAGTTGCTGGAGTCTCTGGGTTTGCAGGGGCCTGAGGTTGTCTCGCGAAGCAGTGGATTGAGGTTTCGTTCAGGACTTATAAGAGCAAGGAAGAGAAAGAGAGAGAGAGAGAGACACAGTGGGAGCGAGAGAGCGAGAAAGTGCGCCAGAGAGGGAGAGAGAGAGAGAGAGGCAAAGCGGCACAGGGAGAAAGAGAGAGAGCGAGAGAGAAAGAGATAGAGAGAGAGGGAGGAAAGGGAGGGAGCGGAAGAGCGATGAGGCAAGGGACCATGAGAGCAACAGGATGGAATCGTCACCCAAACCACAACATCAATCTCGCACAACCTCTTGCCTTTGCACGGAAGGAAGCCCGCCTTTGTCTCTGGCACGAAAGTCGCCACGAAAACGGCGCCAAAGACCAGCACCACAGCATAGAGGCCTTGAGGTGCGTGTGTGAGTAAAATGCAGGAACTTGAGTTGTAACGTGGAAGTTTGGTCTTGTTAGGTGTTAACCCGGGACAGCTAGCACAAAGTGTGACGTCTAGCTTCGCGGAACTTCCATGAACTTCAAGTAGTTTTCACCATGACACATGACATATTCTACGAGCCGCCACATCGACTTGAGGCCCTGAAGGCATCTTTCCTGCTACGCCCTTCAGAACTTGGAGCCTGCTGAGGTTTGTGTTCAGGTGATTGTCAAACATGGCCAGCTAGACAGCAGGGAAACATGAGATGTGCCCAAAAGGGACCCGAGCAAAACACATGACCCCACGACAATTCGCAATGCTGATGCCAGCAAATTGCAAAGGCACAACGTGTTGGGGCAAATGTTGATGTTCGTGGAAAAAGAAGAGTGCAATGACAATGAACAGTAGCATGCCGATGGCTGTCATGTTGGATGTCGTTGCTGCTCCTGATTCTGCTACCACTCCTATCTGCTCCTCCTCCTCCGACGACTAGTACCGCCATTACCACTTCCACTTGCAGTACCAGTTACACTACCAATACCAGTGCCACTGCCGCTCCCAGTGCCACTACCACTACGATTGCGTACCGCTACCGCTACCACCACTCCTACTCCGACCCCTTCTCCCACTCCTACTCATTCTTCTACTCCCGCTTCTTCTTCTACTACTACTGCTACTACTATGACTATCACGACGATTACGACTACTACAACGACGACGACTACTACTACCGTTGACAACTAGGGGAGTATCAGTGTCAATCGGAGTCTTATCATTCTCGATCTTACGAAGCCCGATGAGGATTAGTCTCAGATGCAGAAACAGACTCAAACAATGGTTTAGAATTATTGTGCAGGCTCATGACGCGAGGATGTTCCGAGATCCCGACCGAAAACGCCGCCAAAGCCAATCAGTGACTGCAGCCCTGAGATCGTCTCCTCACGAGGGCCATTGCTCTGGAGGAATGCGTATGGCATAAGAGCAGACTGGGGGGTAGAGGAGCATAGCTTCTGACACAATGCATTGAGACAGCGTGCCGGAAAGGGTTAACTGTGGACTGCACTGCCAGCGGCATGAGCAATGATCCCCAGGCCACCAGAGAATCAGAGACTAGCTCATGTCGGGACGGGACACTGTCGTCAAAAAGGAGCAAGTCCTCAGTTGGAAGTCTGCTGTTGCCAAGGCTTTCTCGACTTTGAAATACTTTGCTCGGGCACAGGTGGTCGGGTTTGCTTTGGAATCATTAGAACTTTGTAGACCTGCTGGTATCAGGAAACCTCGTGACCTCGTGTTAAACCAGAAGTTTCTCCACCTCATGGCCCTCTTCACAATGCGAAGATCATGTCATCATTTGGCGAACCTGTCCAAAATGAAGAGGGAGCTCCCTTTGCGAACTGTGCGATGACCGGTTCTCCATCACTCAGTGTAACATGAGGGCTTTCAAGGCTTAGTCAGTAGCGCAAGGAGCCCTAGGAACAGTATCGGTAACCAATATGTTTGCATGAACTCCTGGATGATCGAGCTCCGGTAGAAGGAGCGGTCGGCGGTCGGTGCGAAGGATTTAGCAAAGTTGTGACTGCCAGGTTCTAAAGAGGATTCTTCGTCGACGTCGCCATGCGACTCAAAGGCGGAGCTGCTCCTTCTTCTAGGCTCTTCTGCTTGTGCCTCACAAACCTGCAGCTTACAGCCAAATGTTGGAATCTACCTGCATGTACATTTCAGGCCTCAAGAAGTCCAGGAAATCCGACAGAAGACGTAGCAAGCACCGAAATGAGACTACCGGGAGGAAACAGCACCAAGCACCGCCCACACATGCGACACAAGGATCCAATTGAATGCCGCTGCGAATGAGGAGGCCGATGTCCGGATCCTCGGATACTACTTAGGGTTTAGGGTTTAGGGTTTAGGGTTTAGGGTTTACAATACTCCTGATTCTGCACATTTGCATGTCCGAACAGATATTCGCTTCTTGAGGAACCACTTCACACAGTCGAAAAGCAAGCAGTATGCTGGCTGAAGACATGCAACATCAGCCAAAAGCCAGCGAAGTGACACTCAGTCAGCTATGATACGTCTAAATTACAGTCGCTTTGCGTCGCGAAGACTCTTGATACCACTGGATTCGGTGCAAGACCGGATGACGCGCAAATTCTGATTCTGAATGGGTGTGTAGCTCTTTGGTACGCTGGCTCCCTTCCTCTCCCCGTTTCCGTATCCCGCTCTCTCTTTTTGACCCATTAATCACTTACTCACTGAGGCAACGATGCAACTAGCCTGGCCCATCGCATCACGATGGACAACATGAATAGGATTTCCAGATCCTGTCACTCAGATCTTCCTTCTATCGATCCTTCAGGTCATTCTTCCCTGCATGTTACTCAACTGTAGCCCGACTTCCGCGTGAAGTCTCTAGGGCTCTAATTGCTCTAATTGCTTCTCGGTCCCAACAGCACAATCGGACGGCAGGCACGCAGTCAGCAAAGGCTTACCGGCTCGTTGCCCCGCAATGTGCCGCCCGGGTGCTTGCCAGGGAAGATCTCGCCCATCATGAGCCACGGGATGGGACCGAGACCCAGGGAGAAGAAGGCGATGTAGAAGAAGGAGGACCTCGGCAGGAGCGTGCCTGGAAGACGTGTGGGGCATGGGACCTGTGAAGGAGGAATTGCAATGGCGACCTGAAGAAAACACACCCCTTTCCAAGTATCCCTACCTACCCTTACAGAGCTCTCTTTAGCCTTCGCAGCACCCTTGACTAAGGGACCGACCCCCTATCGCAAACCCCAAAAAGTTGGAAACCGGATTCAGGACAACTAGTGCTGGGATTCCCGATACATTACTCTTAAGGATAGAGGCTATTGGGTTTCCAACGTTCGGGCTTCTACTTTAAACCCTAAACCACTAAACCCGACTCCAAAACTGGAACCAGCGCCCGCCCACCTAGCACCACCGCAGCCCCAGCCCTCTCCAGCCCCAGCTCCATCTCCCGCAGCCCAGCCCAGCCCCAACTCCGAGATGAGGCTCCAACGTTTCGGTCAAGCTCGACCCCCCAACTACCCTCTAATGTACCCTAAATGCCCACTATTAAGGGCCATAAGGGCTCTATTCAGGGTCCTGGAAAACTAGTGCATCCAAACCTACAACAATCCCTAACCCCCCAGGTACCTATACTATATAGGGTACTAGAGCCCCTTAAGGCCCTATATAGTAGGTACCTGGGGGGTTAGGGAATTTCTCTCCATTAAGGCATCCCCGCCCTAAACCCTAAACCCTAAACCCTATAGAGTAGGTACTTGGGGGCCCTGAAAGCTCAGACAAGGCTCACAAGTGCCAGCCAGGAAGGCCCGCCTTGCTCTGCGCTTTCGCATGGGGGAGCTTCTTGCTCCGATGTATTTGTAAATAAATAAATAAATAAATATATATATATATATATAAAAAAAATATATATATATATATATACACGTATAATTGCGCACATATAACCTATATATATATATATATATGTATATGTGTATATATATTTATATGTAAAGTGAGAGAGGGATGAAATATTAAGTATTAAACACATCTGGTGTATCGTACATTAGATCTTGTACATTGGCTTTCAGTGCACACCTTGATTGAGCACTGTTTCCTTGGGCTTATAGGGCCCTGCTTAGGCTTTTGATGAAGGCTGCGGGTTTCGACCAGTTCACACTCGCAGAAGCCAGGCAAGGATCCAGGTGACGGATGTCCGACTGACTGTGACAATGCTGAAACCCTGGGTGGGAGTCGCCTCAGACAGCTCTGGATGTGCCTCATCGAGCATTTGGCTTCTTCAAGGGGACGGTTTATTATGGAGCTGCACGACTCCTTCACCAATTCTCAGCATTAACCTTCATTGAGCAGGGGCTACTTTCGACAATACACCTCCTGACCGACGGGTGCAATGTTCTTTGTCGTAATCCTTCCTCCGGGTTGTGCTGTGTCGCAAGAGTGGCCTTGTGCATCCCAGCCCTGGAGGTGCTCAGACAAATGTGCGTTGGTATCTACTCGACCTTGATTCCTGGTAGAATAAAACAGCAGCAGCTGGCGAGTGTTCTGCTTTGTTGGTCTTCACCGCTGAGAAAACGGAGAAGGTGCTGGTCGAGAACTCGCCGATCCTGCTTTCTCGGAATTTCCTGGTGGGTCCTGCTAGGTGTGGCGCTGAGTGGCGGCAGGTTGTGACTCATCCAGCACCTTGTCCTGCCGGCGAGCTCGCGACTTCCCTGATGGCCGAGTGTGCCACAACATGAACCGAGCGGCTCCTTTAACGGAGTCAAGCCGTCGCACTCATCACTGAACAACAAGATGCCTCTCTCCCTCCCTCTGCAACTCAGGTTGCGCCATCGACTTCATAACGAAAAAACCTGTTCCTTTGTGTTCCGCAGCACCTTATGGTTGCATCTCTTCTTATAGTATCTACGTCAGTTCGAGTGCTTACGATTGGGCATGGCTGGCTTGGGTTTTAGTTTGTGACAAAATGCCGTCCGGCTGCTAAAGACAAAGAAGACCACCATGCCCACGCAGCAAAGCGTCATGCCGCAGCATGCCTGATTGGATTCGACAGCAACTCACGAAAAAAAAAAACGAGGGTCCTAAACCCTAAACCCTCTCTTCTTCCCCCTAAAGCCCGAAAGTCTCCTAAAACGCCCCTAAATCGCTCCAGGGAGCTTCCTACAACACGACTGGGCCTCCAGGAATGTCTGGGCATCTCAGTGCAGCAATCCACACACTCTCCAGCTTTCAACCCTGCATCCCTCAAGTCGAGGTCAGAAGTTCAGCTGCCGAACCTTCAGACCCATCTCCCTACTTCTGATACAGAACGATCTAGGCTGCAGGCCCGACGCCGTTCGAGGTTCTGTGCTTCAATGAGTGCCCCTTGCGTTGCCATGTGGCTATGAGCAGCAAGACCTTCCGCCCTGCAGTGTCCATCAAAGGGATGGAAATCCCTGTCATAATGACCTGTGCACAGGACAAAGCTAAAGCTCAGGTTGCAGTATATATATATATATATGTATATATATATATATATATATATTGTCATCCCTCAGAGGACGAACTGTAAGGTTGCCTTCATATACGGCGTTCAGGCCGTGGTTTGGGCAGTCAGATATCACCATGGCTGGGTTTGGTCGCTGCCGCTCCGAATCCATACCTTCGTCCACTTCAAAGTCAATGCATGGGTAGGATCGAGCATGCACAGTTCAGCTGGAGAGGATTTCCGAAACTGACAACTATAGTCGGCAACGGCTTTGCACTGTGGCTGTTCGCAGAGCTGATTGGCACCCCGACCTGGACCAGCATCACCAAGAACCCGAGGCTCGCTGCATTTTCGAAACCTGAACATGGACATGTGCTTTCCACATCAGAACCCTGACATCTAGAAACCTCGCCTGCTGGAACATCTAAAAGCTCCACGGAAGCATCAAGTAGTGACAACGTGCATGTTGTCACACGGCGAACACATCCGGATACGTCACGAGACGGATGTTGCTGTGAAGCACGGCGATGACTATGAGTGAGAAGACTTCCTGAGGTTCCATCGAACTTCATACTGGCCCGAGCACTTGCAGTAGAGCTGGGATAGCAAGTCGTCCAAGCAGGACACGTGACAGCAAAGCTTTACGAAGACGGCTGGCGAACACCACCAAAACTTCACCATCCAAGCTCGTAGTTATGCTTAGATGTATCGATCCCGTCACCTAAATGTCTCATCCTATCTGGGGATATGCTCAGCCGATGAGCCACGGTAGCAGTCGGACCGTCAGCAAGCACCCCCCCTGCAGTGCAGGATGAATGCATGTGACATCAAACATGAAACTAAACATAAAACTAAACATAATATGTTTAGTTTTATGTTTAAATGCTTATGGTTTAATGTTTAGTGTTTAATGCTTTACGTTTAATGCTTTATGTTTAGTGTTTCATGCGTTCACGAGGCCGAGGCGGGCTTCCAGCGACCCACCACCATCCAATCACAACCCGGTAGCCGCTAGATAAGGTTTAGCGTTTAGGGGTTTAGGG